GAGTGCTAAGAAAATGGCAGTGCAATGTGAATGCATTTTGGTGGCCACTGAGAAAAATGGTAACTAATTGTTCAAACACCACAAAGCATGCAGTATTGAAGACAAACATCAAGGATAGGAATATAACACTGCCTCTAAAGAAGAAACGAAAACATTTTAAACCAGAAAATTACATGCACAAAACACCAAGAATACACATCTGGCAGAACCGGTTTGATAGGCATAAGAACTTCAAGCTCAGCTGCCTGTTATTTGTGTTCTCTTGTACAAAGCAGGTCTACACAGCCTGGGATGGAGGCTGTTTCTTCTCCAAAGCCTCAACAAAACATCACAACATACAAAAAAACAGAACATGGACCAATCAGAGGAACAGACTAAATCTTGAGACATTAGCCCAAAACTAATTGAGCTATTAATTACCTGACCAAGAACTCAAAATACACTGTCATAACCTTAAAACTGTTTTAAGTTACCCCTATGGTAATCACAATAAAATACCTAAAACAGACACATACAAAGAAATTGAGAAAGAAATGAAAGCATTCTACTACCAAACAAAATCAACGAAAAAATAGCAGAGTTCAGAGGTGGGAACATGGGACAAAATAGCTACAAAAAAGGCAGAAAACAATTCTAAAATGGTTAGAGTAGTCCCTCTGTCTCAGTGATTACTTTAAGTGAAAACAGATGAAACTTCCTGAATCAATACACAGGAGTTGCCTGAATGGATAAATAAATAAAGTCCAGCTAACTTCTGTCTACAAGAGACTCACTTTAGATGTGGGTACATGGATGGGACTGAAGTCAAAAAATGGGAAATGTATTCCACAGAAATGATCACCAATAAAAAGCACAGGTGGGGCTGGCCGAGTGGCGCATTGGTTAAGAACTGGCTTGGGACGACAGCTCTGAGCAGCAGGGCCCCGGTTCGGATCCCACATGAAGGCCAGCGACACTGCCCTTTACAGCTAAGATGGTGAACAACAGCTCAACCTGGAGCTGGGTTGCTGTGAGTCGCCAATAACGGCGAAGAATGCAGCCCCTGCTGCAGTGGGCTGCCATAAGCCATCGTGTCGCCAGCAGCCAGCGTAAGCTGCCAAGAGCCACCGTGAGTGGTTGTTCAGAGGCCGGCGACCAATCTGCCTCAACTGGGAAAAGCGCAATGATAATACCAACATGGGCCAGTGAAGCAACATCCTCCACAACTATACTGAAGAACAAAAGGACAGCAACTTGTCTGTTCCCCTTTCCCCCGATTCCCCAGCACTGTTCCCCTCCCCCAACTCCCCAATAAAATCTTAAAAAAAAAAAAGCACAGGTGGCCATAATGAATAAATATACAGTGTCAAAACGTGTCAGAACACAAAGAAGGACACTATATAATGATAAAATGGTAAATTCAACAGGAAGGTGTAACAATTACATTTGTGTAAAAAGTGGTATAGCCAAAAACAATATGGAACTTCCTCAAAAATAATAAATACAACTATCATATGACCCAGCAATTCCACTACTGGGCATTATCCAGAGAAATAAAAAACACTAATTCAGAAAGATATCTGGGCCAGCCGAGTGGCTTGTTAGTTAACAGTTGGCTTGGGAGTGCAAGCTCTGAGCAGCAGGGATGCCAGTTCCAATCCCACATGGACCAGTGACGCTGCGCCCTCTACAGCTAAGATGGTGAACAACAGATCGACCTGGAGCTGGGCTGCTGTGAGTAGCCAGCAATGGTGTAGGCTGCAGTGGGGCTGCCATGAGCTACTGTGAGTGGCTATCAGCCAGTGTGAGCAGCCGTCCAATGGCGGGCAACCAATCTGCCTCACCTGGTAAGAGCGCAATGATCACAATACCAACATGGGCCAGTGAAGTGATGTCCTCCACAACTAGACTGAAGAACAAAAGGACAGCAACTTGTCTGTTCCCCTTCCCTGATTCCCCAATGCTGTTCCCTCCCCCAATTCCCCAATAAAATCGTTTAAAAAAAGATATTTGCATCCGTACATCCATTGCAATATTATTTACAACAGACAAGATATATACGCCCATCAACCAATCAATGGATAAAGAAGATGTGGTAAATGTACACAATGGAATATTTCTCAGCCAGGAGGAAAACGGAAATCCTGCCAGTGGCCACATCATACATGGACCTAGAGGGTACTATGCTAAGTGAGATAACACAGACAGAGAAAGACTAATGCCACACAATTTCACTGATACGTAAAAGCTAAAAACTAGAAACGGAAAAATAAATCAAAAAAAGATTCACATGGGCCGGCCAAGTGGCTCAGTTTGTTAAGAGTTTGCTTGAGAGCACAAGCTCTGAGCAACAGGGCCGCCAGTTTGATTCTTACATGGGCCAGTGACACTGCACCTGAGCTGAGCTGCCACTGAGCTGCCAATAGGTGCCAGGATGGCTCAGCTGGTGAGAGCACGTGCCCCTAACAACAAGACTGCCTGTTCGATAGTGAGCTACACCCTCCCGCAACTAACACTGAACTTGGCTCCTTGAGCTGAGCTGCCACCCGGATGGGTCATTGGATAGAGCATGTGCTCTTAATAACAAGGCTACTGGTTCGACTCCTGCATGGGATGGAGGCTACGCCCACCTGCAATTAAGACTGAACCTGGCACCTTGAGCTGAGCTGCCACCCGATGGCTCAGTGGATAGAGCGTGTGCTCTTAATAACAAAGCTGCTGGTCCAGCTCCTGCATGGGATGGTGGCTATGCCCACCCGCAACTAAGACTGAACATAGCACCTTCAGATGAAAGGGCACGAGCTGCCGACGGGTGCCCTCCACAACCAAGATTGAAGAACAGCAACTTGGCTGGTCCCCTGCCCCAATTCAGCAATACTGTTCCCCTCCCCCAATTCCCCAATTAAAAAAAAAATAAAAGAGATTCAAGAAACAGAGAATTAACTGATGGTTGCCAGAGAAGACAGGGCCATGGGGAAAATCCAAAAAAGGTGAAGGGGAATCAGAGGTATAAACGTCTAGTTATGAAAAGTCTAAAGTACGGGATATACCAAATATATAAAATGCTCATGCAACTCAACACCAAAAAAACAAACAACCCAATTAAAAAATGGGCAGAGGATATGAAGAGACGTTTCTCCAAAGANACATTTGTAAGGCTTCTCTCCAGTATGAATTCTCATATGTGCAGCAAGAGGTGAACACTGAGTAAAGGCTTTACCACATTCTCTACATTTGAAAGGCTTCTCTCCAGTATGGATTCTCCTATGTACCATGAGAGCTGAATGTTTAATAAAGGCTTTGTCACAGTGTTCACATTTGAAAGGCTTCTCTCCAGTATGGATTCTCCTATGTACCATGAGAGCTGAATGTTTAATAAAGGCTTTGCCACAGTGTTCACATTTGTAAGGCTTCTCTCCAGTATGGGTTTTTCTATGTACAATGAGAGTTGAATGTTTAGTAAAGGCTTTGCCACAGTGTTCACATTTGTAAGGCTTCTCTCCAGTATGGGTTTTCCTATGTCTGTTTAAACTGGATAATCGACTAAAGACTCTGCCACACGGGATACACTTGTAAGGTTCCTCTCCAGTATAAATATTCTCATGTTCAGTAAGATATAAAGATTGGTTCAAAGACTTGTCATATTCACTGCATTTGTTTGGCTTCTCTACAATATAACTGTTCTGATGTGTAAGATTTGAGTTTTCATGAAAGTCTTTCCCATGTGTATGCTGGTTCTCTCGAAACTGCAATTTCTGATGCTTATTAGGATCTGACCCTTGTTTAAAGTTTTTCCAAGATTCACTGAATTGATAGCTTCTCTCATCATTACACATACTCTGGTAATCAACAAAGACAGAAAGGCCTTTAGTGAGGACTCTAATTTCATTAAACAGGTAAAGTTGTTCCCCATTACCCATGATACCTATGGAACCATGATGCTTCTATAAATACCCTCCCACATTTACGAAAATTACAGAATTTGAAACAAGGAAGGATTGTTTTTTGGTTGAAAGAATAACGAAAGCCTGGTTAAGAGATTGTAAAATTGAGCACATTTAGAATTTCGATCTTCATTTTTAAATCTCTGATTGTTAAATGTTTGACTGAAAGTTTAATCTAATCCTGTATTTTTAATTATTCAAATGATTATCACACCATGAATTACATTAACTTCCCACATATTTCACATTTCCTTTCAAAGAATATATATCTTTAATAATAAATTGTTTTCTACCTTTACATTCAGAAACAAGTGTTCTACTAATGTACCCGCCTTAAAGTACAGGGTTTCACAACATTTCTTACATCTTTGATCTCTTTGGCAACAAGGATTTTACTATGAGTAACTGTCCCAGTTTGGTTATGTCCATCATAATGTCCTTCAGCCCTTCACACTCCCCTCATATTCCCACTCTTTCATTAAGTGCAGATTGTCAAGGCCGCACCTTCCATATCTTACCAGCAGCATTTTGTGGAATGAATCTTCTATTCCTGGGTTTGTCAGTAAGTTCAAGGTGTCCTCAGAAGACATAGCTGAAAGACACCCAATAAATTGTCACTCTTACTACATGCATGTGAATATACTTTAAATTCTAACAGACAAATTTAATACTGATTACAGGACTGAACAAGACGGCATAAGAGGAAACACCAAAACTGCCATCCTCCATGGAGACATGAACTTAGCAACAACTACTGACCCAATGAGCTTTGTAATTACTCAGAAACCATGCTCAGGATAGGAAACCACATGCAAGAGTCACATCAAAGAGGGATGAAAAGTTGCTTACATAATATTGTATGTCAACTATAAGTGAATATATATATATATATATATATATATAATCATGGGACATGGAGTATAGTGTGGGAGTGGAGTCAAGGGAATTGTAATATTGTAATAGATATGTAAGATATTGGGGGGAAGTGGAGCGGCGGATTGGGGGAGGGGGGTTGTCACCTCGAGGGGTAAAAAGTATAACTACTGCACTGTGTTGTACAGCTGAAACTAATTCTAAAAAATGTGTATTTCACAATAAAAAAGAATT